CTGCGCCAGATTCCCTTGCCAAAACTGAAGTTTTGTTTTGCCAGTAAATGATTCTGGTTAACACAATGTTCCAAGGCTCTGGGTCAGTTGACCCCCCCTTTGTGCCCTGGGGAGAAGAGAAGAGGGAGTGGACTAAAGTAAAAGAGCAAGAGAGGCTTTGCTCAGCAGGCGGGGGTCTGGGTGCACGGCTTCCCCCCACCAGGCCAGACTGGGCTCGGAACAAGAGCAGGAACATACTGTGCTCTTGGTGCCCTGGCAGAACTCTCCAGAACCGCTCATCCCACCCCCCCTCCTCCCCTCCAGTCCCCCACCCCACCCCACCCCCCACCACCAGTAGAGCTCCCAGGCATCATCATCAGTCTGTTCTGAGGGGTAGGACTTGGGTCCTCCTAGCTCAGCTCCACTTCTTACCCCACCTCCACCTTCCATCAGAACTGTAACTTGTCCAGAAGTGAAGAGAGAGGGTGTTTTGCCGAGTTTCCATCTTTGGGATGTCTTTGCCTTGGAAGGCTCCCGTTGCCAGTGCCTGGTCAGTGAGCAGCTTGGCGGAGCTGTCTTCCTTGAGGGCAGGCTGTGGAGGCACATGCCACCACCACTTGGCTGCCCGGGGCACTTCCCTGGACTTCGCTCTGGCTGCCTGGGCCTCCTGCCACCGCGGCAAGTTCCCAGACCTCAGCCACACACTAGACTGTGAGGCTGTTTCCTTAACAGGAAACAATCCGTCTGCTCCCTGGCACAGAGCAGGCCTCCCACTCATTGAGGACAACTTGGGAGTTTCTTCCTTTCCTTCTGGGAGTGCGCGGCGTCTGGGTGAAAATTACACCTCCTGGCAGCTGCTCCAATTGCTGGGAGGGAAGCAGTGAGTACAGTGGCGAAAGGGCAGCTCTTAGCAGAAGCTAGGACTCTGGTATCTGACCCAGAAGAGAGGGTTGGAAGAAGAAAATTCTCTGGTCTTGACAGTGTGCTAGACCCAACGTGCCACATCTCGGAGATTCTCAGGGTCTCCTCAGCTCACCCCTGTGTGGTTCCAGGATCCATTGCAGCAGAGAAAGAGCTTGAGCCAGACAGATGCCATCTCTCCCCCCACAGGAAGCCCTCTCCTCCCCACACCCTCTCCCACCTCCCGCTCGCACCAAAGGGAGAGAAGGGGCTCCTAAAAGCCGTCCTGAGGCACCAGGCCCAGAGTAGCGAGGCAGCTTGTCCTGTCAATTTCCACCAGCCAGCAGGCAGTGTAGACACGGGCTCCACCCCAAGCCTGTGGGTGGGCAGGGGGTGACCTCTTTCCCTGGGAACACACTCGCTTTGTTCGCGCTGATGTCACTGCAGCTCCTGTCGCCAAGCCGCCAAGTTGGATTTCCTTGAATGGTGCCGTCACTGTTGTCCCAGCTCCAGCCGGGCCCAGGAGCTCCTGCCCACTTCCTCTGTCTGGCACGGCTGTGGGGGCTGGAGGCTTGGGAGTGGGGGCTGGGATGGGGAATTTGGGATTGGATCCTTGGAGCGGCAGGAGTCAGCACACTGTCTCCAGCACATAGGCTTCGCACGCCTCCGCCTCCTTCTTACAACCAGCCCCGCTAAGTCCCTCTGCAATTGGATTTGCCCTCCTCAGCTCTCCTGAGAGTCCTTGTGAGGCCCAGAGCACTGAGGTCTCCTTCGCCTGGACCTGCTAGCAGCCTCCCGCTGGTCAAAGACTCAGCTCTCCCAAAGGATGGGCCAGGCTGTACCCTGCCGTCCACAGTGCTGTGAGCGCAGTCTAACCCAGTGCCCTCCTGTCCCACTGCCCAGGTGACCACTGACTGGGACCTTCAGAAGGGCACAGGCTGCACTGAGGGCCACACAGGCACCTCAGCCGCAGCCCCTCTGGCAGCCGGCATGATAGCCCTCATGCTGCAGGTGCGGCCCTGCCTTACCTGGCGTGATGTCCAGCACATCATTGTCTTCACAGCCACCCAGGTGAGGTGCCACCAGGCAGACCCCCAAGTTCTGGCTCCAGGTTCCAGGTGTTAGATGCCAAATCCCTTTCAGAGTCCCATGTGTATAAAACAGGGGTGGGGAGTCCGTCACCAGAGACCTCAACTCCTTGGTACCGATGACTGATGATGCCATTTTACCTGCAGAGCAGAGCTCTGGTTGGGCTTCCTCACTGGAGCCTGACTCCTGGCTCCCTCTCTGGAAGCAGGCCGTTGGGGTGGTGACATCATGGGGCAGCTTCCCTTGGGGACCCATAACCAGCAGCTTTAGTGGGAGAGTCTGGATTGGAGCAGCAGCAGGGTGAGCGGGGAGGCCAGAGCTGGGTGTTGAGACCATTTTGGAAATTCAGGAGACTAATCGGGACCTCTGTCCTCAGTACGAGGATCGCCGTGCAGACTGGGTCACCAACGAGGCAGGCTTCAGCCACAGCCACCAGCACGGATTCGGCCTGCTCAAGGCTTGGAGGCTCGTTAACGCAGCCAAGGTGAATAGGCGTTGCAGAGCAGGGAGCCACATGGAATGACCAAGGGAGGGGCTGACTGCCTAACCAGGGGTGGGGAACCTTTTTCTGCCAAGGGCCATGTGGATATTTATAACATCATTCATGGGCCATACAAAATTATCAACTTAAAATTAGCCTGCTGCCCTAGCCGCTTTGGCTCAGTGGATAGAGCGTTGGCCTGCGGGCTAAAGGGTCCCAGGTTCCATTCCGGTCAAGAGCACATGCCTGGGTTGTGGGCTTGATACCCAGTGGGAGGCGTGCAGGAGGCAGCTGATCAATGATTCTCTCTCATCATTGATGTTTCTACCTCTCTCTCTCCTTCCTCTCTGAAATAAAATACACATATTAAAAAATTATTCTACTATATTTGATCAAATATTTAATTACCTCACCCCTAATGCCTTATGATATCATGCGCCTTATATGGCCCGCAGGCCGGATGTTCACCACCCTGGACACCATTGCCTGGCACGTTGTAAGTGCTGAATAAATGTACCTTCATCCCAGCTGACACCCATTTTCTAATGAGGAAGCGGGCTCAGCATGTTCATTGAAGTTTCCAGAGCATTTGTAGGGAGTGCTGGGACCTGGGTACACCTTGGGACGCAGTGCTCTGGTTCTCATCTTCCACCTGGACACCCCTTTCCTCCGGCTCTGGATTCGGTGCCATAGGGAGCAGGAGCCTCAGGAATGAAAGAAGGTGATGAGGACAGGAAAGAGAGAGAGAGCTGGGCCCTGAAGATCAATGGAGGAGAGAGTGAGTCCAGTCTTGTTTGTTCATCCACCGTCCCCCCTTTTCCTTTTACAGATCTGGACATCTGTCCCCTACTTAGCTTCCTACGTCAGCCCTGTGTTAAAAGAGAACAAGGCTATCCCGCTGTCCCCCCACTCCCTGGAGGTGCTGTGGAATGGTGAGTAGCCCACAGAAGGGGGTTAATCCGGGGGCAGGGCGATGGGGACTCACCCTCCCTGGGCTCTACCCCTTCCTTCGGAGCTGAGCTTCAGCCAAACCTGCGGAGTGTCCGTGGCCATTTTAGGGCATGTTGCTGCTTCTGAGTGGCTGCCGCGGCCTCAGCAAGGCCTTCCTCCTGAGTCGCTGGGAGAGGAGAGGGGCTGCTGAGCGGCTGGTGGGAAAGGCTGAGGAGGGCAGGGGCGGGCCTGGGGATGAGCACGAGTTGAAAGATGTTCCTTTGCGTTCCAAGCTGAGAACTTGCCAGGCAGCTCTCGTCATCCCAGTGGCCTTGGGATGAAGTGAAGGAGTTGAGATTTCTTTGATTCTCAACCCTGGCTAATCAGAGCGAGCCGTGGGGCCTGCAGGGGGGGTGACAGGAGAACGGTCTCCCTGAGCTGTGGTTGCCCTCTGACCCGCCTCCGTCTCACTGTCCCCAGGGCTGTCAGTCAGTGGTTGGTGTGGAGCACAGGTTGGGCGCCTCCCAGGAGAGAGTGTCTGCCCTTTCCCAGAGTTCCCACGGGACGCCTCCAACTCCAGCTCCTCCGGGACGTCCTTGTCCCTTGAGGAATTTGACAGATATTGGCTATTTTCTGTGGAGAGTGGAGCATGTCATGTGCTGTGCCCAAACTCAAACCCCGAACTCACAGGAAGTGATCCACCCAGAGTAACTACGAGAGGATGAGCGGCCGAGGGGAGCTCCGAAAGGAGGGTCAGGCAGCAGCCCGCGGGGGAGGTGTCCCTGGGAGGAGTCCAGTCTCCCTGACCTTGTCAGTGGGTGCCTGGTTCCCTCTAGGTGGAAGGAGGTCTGTAGGTGCCGTTCTCTGCATGTTTCCTAAAAGGGACCTTGGAATGGGCATGAGGCATCGGCCAGGGTGGGCAGTTCGGGAGCAGCCCATGGGAACCCAGGCTTTGTCTTGGACACTCGTGTGTCTTGGAGATGGTGTGTGTGCCCTTTAACCCCCCGCCCCAGGACTGCTCCCTGTCACTTAGGTAATACAGTAGCCCATAGTCACATCTGTCAGGTGAGGGGTTGACTTTGGGGAGGGTCAGGGTCCTTTCCAACTTTGTCATCTCTGCTCCCACTACCCAGGGCTGTGGCCCAGCATGCCTGACAGGCTCCACTGGCGACTGCTTGTCTGTCGTTAGGGAGCACGAAAGACCAGGTTGTCATGGGCAGAGGAGACTGGAGGTGGGGTAGTGGAGAGAGGACGAAGTCGGAATGTGCAGACCCTGGACATAGGGCTGGTAGAGCCTGTCGTCGGCATGGAGGGCCGCCAGCAGGATTCGGCTAGTGTCTGAGCTCTGCAGGGTGTCACCCCATCTGTGGGGATTGAGTAACCTGAGGAGACAACAGAAGACACACGTCTGTATGTCCTAGGAGGCGGAAGGAAGTATGTCTGGTTAATAGAACGTTGAGCAAGTTAGCCCTAGACCAGTGATGGCGAACCTATGACACGCGTGTCAGAGGTGACACGCGAACTCATTTTTTTGGTTGATTTTTCTTTGTTAAATGGCATTTAAATATATAAAGTAAATATCAAAAATATAAATCTTTGTTTTACTATGGTTGCAAATATCAAAAAATTTCTATATGTGACACGGCACCAGAGTTAAGTTAGGGTTTTTCAAAATGCTGACACGCCGAGCTCAAAAGGTTCACCATCACTGTCCTAGACTGTCAGGAAGGCTCTTCCCTGGAGCCCCACTGAGGTCTTTCCACCAAGATCCAGTGATTCCGTGTGAGGGCTGGAGAGGGACTCTTCTGGCGCGCAGGGAGCTGAATAGGACAAAGTAGAAGGGAGGGGAAATGTCTCGAAGACTCTGGAGCAGTGATGGCATGTTCTCTGTGCTGAGCTCCGTGGTGTCGATGGTCCCTGTGTAGTGATGGCATGTTCTCTGTGCTGAGCTCCGTGGTGTCGATGGTCCCTGTGTAGTGATGGCATGTTCTCTGTGCTGAGCTCCGTGGTGTTGATGGTCCCTGTGCAGTGATGGCATGTTCTCTGTGCTGAGCTCCGTGGTGTCGATGTTCCCTGTGCAGTGATGGCATGTTCTCTGTGCTGAGCTCCGTGGTGTTGATGGTCCCTGTGCAGTGATGGCATGTTCTCTGTGCTGAGCTCCGTGGTGTCGATGGTCCCTGTGCAGTGATGGCATGTTCTCTGTGCTGAGCTCCGTGGTGTTGATGGTCCCTGTGCAGTGATGGCATGTTCTCTGTGCTGAGCTCCGTGGTGTCGATAGTCCCTGTGCAGTGATGGCATGTTCTCTGTGCTGAGCTCCGTGGCCACTGGCCCCAGGAGGCTGTTAAACATTTGAAATGTGGCTAATGGGACTGAAGAACAACTTTATTATAATTAAATTCAAATAGCCGTGTGGCTAGTGGCTACCTTATTGGGCAGTGCAGCTGTAGAGCAAGACAGGTTTCTATTTCTTCCCATTGGCAGGAGGACACGGAAGGGATGGGGCCCTGGGTTCCTTTAGATCAGATTCCTCTGAGCGCTCCACTAGAGAGGAGGAGAGAGTGGGGCTCAGGGGGATTGTCTACAGCAAAAGAGAGTCTGTGTATATTCATAGAAGGTGCCTGAGCACCACTTGCCCTTACCTGTGATCCTTACTGGCGGCCTGAGTGTGTGTTAGCCCTCTGCCTGGGCAGGGAGTCCTGTTCCTTCCCTTCTCCACCTCCTCCCTCTCCACGGATGCCTCCTCCTGCCTTCACACATCCTCACTCACCTGTCAGGAAACACATTAAGGTCCCCACCACCCTTCAGCCTGTCACCTTTTCAAAGGAATTATCTAAAGCCATTGCAGCTCGTGTCACACCTCTCGACCACCGACGCTTCGCTTCATCACTCACTTTACTTCCTGACCTCATCTTCTCCTGGCTGGACCCCAGGGCTGGCTCAGAGCTCATCTTTCGACCTGTTGCTGTGACCCTATTAATGAGGCCCTTGTGGCAGCCTCTCTGCGCCCCCACCGCCCATGAGCTCCTTGCTCCACGGCCTCTTCTCAGAGCTCTGCCCGGGGTACTTGTTTTCCTGTTTGCTCGCCCCACTCTCCCAGCCACGAGCGCCTCTGGACTCACCCCAGGTTCCTGGTCCTCCTAGCATTTCTTCGCGACAGGGCAGCTGGCTCAGGACTTCAGCTGCCGCCACTCACACAGGAATCCTAGAGCGAAATCTCTTCTGATCTCTTACCAGGGAGGATAGGCGTCTTCACAGCTTCCCCGAGATCCTGGGCAAAGAAAGCCCTGGGATCTTCTGGTCGGAGGGTAAGAGTTGAAAAAGACCCTTATTACCAAAGGCCAAATAATATGATGACCCACCAAGACCTGAGTGCTTTCTATGTGCCAACCGCTGTTCTACGTATTAACTCATTTAATGTATTAACTCATTTAATTCTAGTGTTCTCACACACATGGCCACCCAGTCCCTGTATAGACCAATAAGAGCCACCCGGTCCCTGTATAGACCAATAAGAACCACCCAGTCCCTGTATAGACCAATAAGAACCACCCAGTCCCTGTATGGACCAGTAAGAACCACCCAGTCCCTGTATGGACCAGTAAGAACCACCCAGTCCCTGTATGGACCAGTAAGAACCACCCAGTCCCTGTATGGACCAATAAGAACCACCCAGTCCCTGTATGGACCAATAAGAACCACCCAGTCCCTGTATGGGCCAATAAGAACCACCCAGTCCCTGTATAGATCAATAAGAACCATCCAGTCCCTGCATGGACCAATAAGAAATGCCTGGCCTGGCTGGTATGGGTCAGTGGTTGAGCATTGACCTATGAACTAGGACAGTGGTTCTCAACCTTCTGGCCCTTTAAATACAGTTCCTCATGTTGTGACCCAACCATAAAATTATTTTTATTGCTACTTCATAACTGTAATGTTGCTACTGTTATGAATCGTAATGTAAATATCTGATATGCAGGATGGTCTTAGGCAACCCCTGTGAAAGGGTTGTTCAACCCCCAACGGGGTCGCGACCCACAGGTTGAGAACCGCTGAACTAGGAGGTCGCAGTTCAATTCCCAGTCAGGGCACATGCCCAGGTTGTGGGCTCGATCCCCAGTGTGGGGCGTGCAGGAGGCAGCGAATCCATGATTCTCTCTACATCATTGATGTTTCTCTCTCTCCCTCTCCCTTCCTCTCTGAAATCAATAAAAATATAAAAAAAGAAGAAATGCCCAGTGCGCTCATGCTCACAGACAAGCACTCACAGGGCTCTTTGGGTCCCTTTCCCTTTCATGCCGTGATGCTGTAATTTACTTTTGACAGCCCTTCTGTGTACTCATGCTCTCCTCCCTATGCTATGGCCGTTTCCCTTCCTTTTTCCGTTCCTAAGTCACTGTGCTATTGGCTAGTCCACCAATACATGACGTTAACATGAACGAAATTGCTGATTTCCTTATCACCTCTGGAAAGCAAGCCTGCTTTTCAAGTTTCTCCCATTGCTGTCCTTGCTATTACTGTTCCCTAGCCTCCCAAACTTTAGGCTCTGGAGTTTTCAGTCCCTATGTGTCCCTTGCCTCTCCCCAGGTCTTCACCTGCCCTCTCTTCTGCAATTTAACCTTTCATTTATTTCCCTGACATGTCCTTAATTGGTTCATTCGCCCTACAAATAAGTGAGATCTACCTCGTCCCAGGCACTGTATGACATTTCAGTGGTTCAGAAGTCAGACATGATTCCTGCCTCAGAGAGCTCCCAGCCTGGGAGGGAAGAGAGTCCATGCGGTGGGGGGTGTCAGAGGCACCACAGTCAAGATGACAAGCGTCAGGATACAAACTAGCTGGGAGAGGAGGTGGTGAAGGGACGGTGGGCAGCAGGGGTAACACGTGCAGCCGATGGGATCTCTGGGGAACTGCAGGTCCTGTGGTGGCTGCAGTGCAGGGAGTGAGGGCAGAGGAAGATCTGAAAGTGCAGGCAGCAGGCCTGTGGCCAGTGGCCAGTGTGTCTTGAAGTCTGAGGGGAGCCTTTGAGATAAATTGTCAGCAGTGAATGTTAGCACTAAGGGAGAGAGCAGTCAGAGAGACCCCACGACCTCAGCTTTCAGAGATGCCTACTAACTCCTCACTGATGAAATGATAGGAGGCTTATGGGTCCATTAGAAGAATCTGGAAAGGGGAAGCAGTGGGGATCACCGATGAAGCAAGATTAGCCAGATAGTCATAATAAGCTTGGGCGTTGAGACCATCCGTTCTACTCTTATATATGTTTGAAGTTTCCTAGAATGAACATTTATATGTCACATATATATTTATATAACTATTTTATATATTTTTCAATATATAAATCAAATGATTTCCAAGTTTTTAGCTTGGGCAACTGGTTAGATGGCGATGCCAGCAAGTGATACTAGGGATCCAGGAGGAAGAACAGATCCGGCAAGGGCGGTGGAGTGTAAAGCACCGGCAGGGATTTTGGCTCCGCTATGCTTTGGGCTCCTGTGTGTCACCTAAAAGTTATATCCAGGAAACAATTGAAAGAATAAGTTTGAAGGTCTAGACTGGAGGTGATGATTTGGGAGTCACCAGCATAAAAAGGGAAGCAAAAAGTCTGGGAAGAGTGAGATTCCCAGGGTTGGCGGATAGATGAAGGATAAAAAAGGACCAGGAGCCTCTGAAGAAGACAACTGACAAGAAATTGCCTGGGAGTGGGAGAAAGGTCAGGAGGGTGGTGTTACAGGCATCGAGGACAGTGGTGCTGAGAGGGCGTGGACACGGCGGAAGGTGTCCCTGGCTCATCAGGGAGGCCACGAGGACGTGCTGTTTGCGCTCAGAAGGGCAGGAGCTAGACCGCAGCTGGTGGAATAATTAGTGGGACAGGAGATTTCTGGTTAAAGATGGCAAATTGAACACATGCTTTTATCTCTGCTTTCTCCCAAAACCTCACCAAAATAAGAATAAAGGAATAAAAATGGCATAAGCACGAGGACAAAGAGAAGGAGAGGGGAGACCACAGCAAATGAGATATTGCGTCACATTTTTGGAAGATGGGAGTGAATGGAGAAGTGAGCAGGGCTAAGGAAATCGTGTAGCAAAATACCCGCAAGGGCGATGCTAAGAAACAAGGCCTTCACACTGCAGAACCCCAAAGGCACAGGAAGGACTTGGAGGCCCGTGCACCACAGAGGACAGAGATGAGGTGTGAGACTGAAAACAGGGACCGGTCAAGAGGAAGACTCCCAGGACCTACTCCCATCCTTAGCCCTTCCTTATCTGGGCAGGAGTTGGGAAGTTCGTTCTCCAGCCAGGGACCCAGGTGCAGTGAAAGACAGGAAGTACACAGAGGGGAAGAGGAGCCCCAGGGGTGAGACCCGGAGAGGCAGACCCTTGCCACCCAGCAGCTGCTCAGATCCCAGAGCACTGGCAGCCAGGAGACTGGGAACTTCCTCTCTGGAAAAATGGAATGATCGCCCTGGCCGGTTTAACTCAGTGGATAGAGCGTCGGCCTGTGGACCAGAGTCCCCAGTTCGATCCCGGTCAAGGGCACGTACCTTGGTTGCAGGCTCCTCCCCGGCCTGGGCCCTGGTCAGGGCATGTGCAGGAGGCAACCAATCGATGTGTTTCTCTCACATCGATGTTTCTCTCTGTCTTTCCCTCTCTTTTCCACTCGCCCTAAGAATCAATGGGAAAATATCCTTGGGTGAGGATTAACACACACACAAAAAAAGAAAAATGGAATGATCCCTTTTCAAAAGACACACAGATACCGATATGTGGGCCCCTCCGTGAAGCAGTCCTGCCCAGTCCAGTTCACTAAGGAAGCCCGCTGAGTGGAAAGCTCCACCCCTGGTTAGAGCTTCCGACAGGCTTTTAGAGATAATAGGGTCACTGGCTGTTTGAGAGATGCTCCAAACGCCTCCCAGATTTTGAGGAAAATTTTTTCCAGTCGATAAACCCAGCCTAACTAATAACCATACGGGAAGGCAGCATAAGGAAGGATGTTTTCAGACGTGTAAGTCTTCTCCTGCTCCGTTGGTCTGAAAGCGCTAGGAGATGTGCTCCTCAGCAGTGAAGAGGGAACCAAGAAAAGAAAAGGTTAGAAAGGAAGGAACGCAAGCAAGGGAGGGAGTGGGTGGGGAGAAAGGGAGAGGGTGCAGAGAGGAAGCGAAGCCAAGTGGGAGGCAGAGGAAGGTGCCAGCCCAACAGCCATGCAGCAGGTGGAAGCGGGGCAGAAGGGTCCAGAGAGAGACCTCCAGTGGGAAGGTGGTATTGAGGAGCCTCTGACTTATTTGTTCATTTGAAGAATAGTATCCAGAGGAGTTAAATGGTTCTTTTGTGAAGTTTGGCAAGAAGTAACGGTAGGGACGTGAATTTAAGTTCAAAAAACAGGTCAGTTATTAACTCTAGAGGGGAAAACAGCAAATTAGTTAGGAAATGACATGTCATCATTGTACATACTTGACTCAATCCCATATTCTGGTATTTTTAAGGTCATTGTGTGGTAAACAAAATATTGCTCTAACCAAAAGCTGTGATGTAATTACCTTGAGGAGGCAGAGGAACGGGCAAGGTAGGGAGAATACGTGGGCTTGAAGTTAAGTCCTTATCTGCTGTAACCAAAAGTCAACAATCAATGCCTTTATTGATAAACCTTGAAATAGCCATACATGCTTATTACTTAGAAACATGAAGGTAGATCCCAGAAGGAAACAACTAAAAGCAATAAAAGGTGTTTGCTCCTGGGGAGTGGAGGACAAAGGTGCGAGAAGTGGGTAGGGAACTTCTCTTTCACGTCATAAGCACTCCAGACCCAGTCTCGCCCCCGCCGTGGCTACTCTAGGTTTTATATAAACATGGTAAAGCAGAATCTTCTTCAGGTCCGTTACTCCCATGTAGCTCTGTTTTCTTTACCCACTTCTTTGGTGTGTTACAAATACTACACCTGTGCTTGGGTGTGGAGAGGGCGGCGCACCTGAAGCATGGCTCCTCTGTAACAGCAACTTGGGCTGACTCCTCACGGGCGGCAGGGTACGGAGGCCTTCCTGTGACATTGCGCCTATCCAAGAAAAAATAAGTAAATAAATAAATATCACATCTGTGGCTACAAACACAGTAATACACCGTGGCGCCTACTTTACCATGTGTTACCATTTTCTTAGCCCAATGTAGCCACACTCCCACTCAGCTTTCCTGTGCTGTTGTTGCAAGTATAGCACATTCCTATGTACATTGTATACCAATGGTATGTAATTGCTTCTTCTCGTTCAGTATATTTTTATTGATTTCAGAGAGGAGGGGAGAGGGAGAGAGATAGAAACATCAATGATGAGAGAGAATCTTTTTTTTTTTTAAATATATTTTATTGATTTTTTACAGAGAAGAAGGTAGAGAGATAGTTAGAAACATCGATGAGAGAGAAACATCGATCAGCTGCCTCCTGCACATCTCCCACTGGGGATATGCCCGCAACCCAGATACATGCCCTTGACCGGAATCGAACCTGGGACCTTTCAGTCCGCAGGCCGACACTCTATCCACTGAGCCAAACCGGTTTTGGCAGATGAGAGAGAATCTTGATCAGCTGCCTCCTGCACGCCCTCTACTGGGGATCAAGCCCGCAACCCCGGGCGTGTGCCCTGACTGGGAATTGAACTGTGACCTCCTAATTCATAGGTTGACGCTCAACCTGAGAGCCACACCAGCCAGGCTATAATTGCTTTTTAAATCAGTTAAGAGAAGGAGGCACTATTCACTTAAACTGTCTTCTATAAGAACACAATTACATTTACTGGTGTGTTTTTTTTTCTTTGGATTTGAGTTGCCAACTGGGACCATTTCCTTTCAGCTTAAAGAACTTCATTTAGCATTTCTTTTTTTTTTTTTTTTTTTTAAATATATTTCATTGATTTCCTACAGAGAGGAAGGGAGAGAGATAGAGAGTTAGAAACATCGATGAGAGAGAAACATCGATCAGCTGCCTCCTGCACATCCCCCACTAGGCACATGCCCTTGACCGGAATCGAACCTGGGACCCTTCAGTCCGCAGGCCGACGCTCTATCCACTGAGCCAAACCGGTTTCGGCATTTAGCATTTCTTATAAGGTGGGTCTGCTGGCAACAAGTTCTTTCAGTCCTTGTTTATCCAGAAGTATCTATTTTGCTTTCGTCTTTGAAGGATAACTGCTGGATTGTAGGACTCTTAGTTGACAACACTGCCTGTGAGAGTGGCCAGATCTTGCATTTATTAGAAAAAGACTTTAAAGTAGCCATTACAAGCATGTAATGGAGAGATAAGAGAAGCCATGATTGAGTAAGTAAATAAAGATTTGAGCCCTGGCCGGCTTTGCCCAGTGGTTAGAGTATTGGCCAATGGACCAAAGGGTTGTGGGTTTGATTCCTGGTTAAGGGCACATACCTCACATACCTAGGTTGCAGGTTCAGTCCCCATCCCTGGTCAGGGCATGTGTAGGAGGCAATCAATTTATATGTCTCTCTCACGTTGATGTTTCTCTCTCTCTCTGTCTCTCTCTCTGTCTCTGTCTCTCTCTCTCTCTCTCCTCCTCTCTCCCTCTCTCCCTCTCTCCCCCTCTCCCCTCCCTCCCTTCCCCACTCTCTCTCCCCTCCCTTTCACTCTCTCTAAAAATCAAGGGAAAAAATATCCTCAGGTGAGGATTAACAAAAGAAAAAAGGAAAGATTTGATGATAATGTTGCACCAAATAGAAAATATCAGTAAAAACAGACATTATTAAAAACAAACCAAATAGAAATTCTGAAGTTGGAAAGTGACTAAAACATTCACTAGAGGGATTCAACAGCAGATATGAATTGGCAGAATAGGAATAAGTGAACTTGAAGATAGATTGATAGGTATGCAAACTGAAAAACAGAGAAAAAAGAAGATGAAGAGTCTTAGAGAAATGGTGGACACCATTAAGTGAAGCCATATATGTGTAATGGGAGTACCAGAAAGAAAGCACAGAGAAGAGCAGAAAGAGAGTCAAAAAAAACTGCCTGAAAACTCCCCAGGTTTACTAAAGAACACCACCCACACCCAGGGATCTCAAAGAACTGGATTCCAAGTATGACCCGTATAAAGAGAGCCATAGACACGTCATTGTGAAAATGCTGAAAGTCGAAGACAAGGAGAAAATCTTGAAAACAGCAAGAGGAAAATGACTCCTTACTTACAAGGAAAGCCCAATAAAATAGCCGCTGATTTATCATTAGAAACTGTTGCCTGAGCTGGTTTGCTCAGTGGTTAGAGTGTTGGCCTGCAGACTGAAGGGTCTCGGGTTTGATTCCCGGTGAAGGGCACGAACCTGGGTTGCAGGCTCGATCCCCGGCCCAGTTCAGGGCACGTAAGGGAGGCATCCAATCAATGTGTCTCTCACATCGATGTTTCTCTTTGTCTCTCTCCCCACCTCCCTCCCTTCCATTCTCTAAAAAGCAATGGAAAAATATCCTCAGTTGAGGATTTAAAAAAATGACAAAGAGCCGGAACCGGTTTGGCTCAGTGGATAGAGCGTCGGCCTGCGGACTGAAAGGTCCCAGGTTCGATTCTGGTCAAGGGCATGTACCTGGGTTGCGGGCACATCCCCAGTGGGAGGTGTGCAGGAGGCAGCTGATCGATGTTTCTCTCTCATCGATGTTTCTAACTCTCTATCTCTCTCCCTTCCTCTCTGTAAAAAATCAATAAAATATATTAAAAAAAAAAAATGACAAAGAGCCCGGCCGCTGTGACTCAGTGGTTGCACGTCAAGCTATGAACCAGGAGGTCACAGTTCGATTCCCGGTCAGGGCACATGCCCGGGTTGCATGCTCGATCCCCAGTGGGGTGTGCAGGAGGCAGCCGAACAAAGATTTTCTCTCATCATTGATGCTTCTCTCTCTCTCTCTCTCTCTCTCTCTCTCTCTCTCTCTCTCTCTCTCTCTCCTCTCTCTCTCTCTCTCTCTCTCTCTCTATCTCTCTCTCCTCTCTCTCTCTCTCTCTCTCTCCTCTCTCTCTCTCTCTTCCATCTCCCTTCCTCTCTGAAATCAATAAAAAATATATTTTAAAAAAGAAATGAAATTAAAAGGAAAAAGGAACAGTGGAGGCCAGACCACAGTGGGTACATTCAAATATATTCAAATTTCTCAAAGAATCAGTTTACTTTTAAAACCATGTACACTCTTTTAATAGAAGAAAAATGGTAAAGATGAATGGAAAGGTAAGAAGTAGACATAGTGAATATAGACATCCTTTTAAAGAAGTTTTAATAGCAAATAAAACATAATATCTGATACTTCTATAATCTTAACATTTACTGGGTACTATTCTAATTACTTTGTGTATATTAACTAATTTATCAACTCTATGAAGTAGGTGCTGTTACTACCCCCATTTTACAGGTAAGGAAATTAATCCAATTCCCACAGCTAGTAATGGCAGAGCTGAGATTTAAACTCAGGCTGGATGGCTCAAGTCCAAAAATTTTTTTCTCCCTTTTAAAAATAATATGTTTTTATTGATTTTTAGAGAGAGAGAGAGAGAGAGAGAGAGAGAGGAAAGGAGAGGGAGAGAGAGATAGAAACATTAAGAGAGAAACATCAACATCAATCAGCTGCCTCCTGCACACCCCCTGCAGGGGATCGAGCCTGCAACCCGGGCATGTGCCCTGACTGGCAATCAACCCATGACCTCCTGGTGCATACATAGGTCGATGCTCAACACTGAGCCACACCAGAGTCCAAGCTCTTAACAGTAGATGGAAGGAAGTGAGAAGTTGAGGAAGGGTTTATTAGTTTTTGTTTTTCATTTGTAGTAGAAAAGACATAAGCAAAATCTAGCCGGGAAAATGGGTAATTGGGCTGATCCAGTTTGGATTTCTGCCAGATAGCTACTGTGAGTGGCAAAGAAAGGGAAGGGAGCTTGAGAGTGTACGTAGGGTGTTGGAGAGGAGCTGCGGGGTCCCAGCTGGTTAGGAGCAAGAGCTGGATAAATTTCTTGAAGAGCAAGACAGTGAAGGGTCAAGGAGGGAGAGAGGAAGGTGGGAGGACAGAGGTTGCTTTCCGAGGAGGTGGGACATTGGCTTTGAAGAGTTTACAGATGGAACTGAAGGAAATTCACACACACACACAGAGAAGTCTAGATAGATGTTTGCCAACATGTTATCAAGAGTTGTGGGAGCTTTTTTTTTTTTTTCATTTTTGCTCAACCACTTTTCTAATTTGTCTTCAGTTAATTTGTGTTGCTTCTATAATAAAAGCTTCGATGAAAGTTACCAAGCACTCAGAATGAGGGAGTCCCAGGTAGTGACAAGGCCCAGGGTCTGCTCAGGGAAGGGGTGCTGACATGGGATGGAGAGAGGTGTTTGGAGCCGAGGAGGTAAAGAAACATGAAGTATGGCATCAAGGAGGCAGTCCCCACTCCCACGGTGTCCTAGGGGATAAGGGGGGGGGGGGGCGCCTCGGGAATGCAGTGAGGGGCCGCAGCAGGTCGGGAAACAGAAAGCGGTGTCCCGGAGGCTCAGCCTCTTTTCTCCTCTTCCTTCTCCAGTCATAGCTCTCCCTGCTCGCTCACCTCAGCCCTAGGATAAGGCAGGGACTTCAGCTGGCCTGTCACCCCCCACTCCTCCTACCCGCCGCTCTGAACAGTCACCTTCCTTACGGACTTTTTTAAAAACACAACTCCACTCTTCTTTTTTTTTTTAATCCATTCTTTTTTAAAAAAATATATTTATTGATATTTTACAGAGAGAGGGAGAGGGATAGAGAGTTAGAAACATCGATGAGAGAGAAACATCGATCGGCTGCCTCCTGCACACCCCCTCCTGGGATGTGCCCCCGACCAAGGTACATGCCTTGACTGGAATCAAACCTGGGACCCTTCAGTCCGCAGGCCGACGCTCTGTCACTGAGCCAAACCGGTCAGGGCACACAACTCCATTCTTGTTCAGTCATCTGTGATAGAGCTCGCTTGTTTAAACTAAGTTCTGAAAGCCCTTCTCTTCTTGGGTCCCTTGCCCCTCCTCGGCGCCTCAGGTCTGTTTACGAACAGGCGCTGTCGCCTTGCCTGTGAGGACACACTGTGGGGAAACGGTGCTTTAGAAAGACTCTCAATATTCTCCAACTGCATCTTCTACTTCAGCAGCTTGTTTGTTTAAAAAACTTTTTCTTTAAAATAGTTTTAGATTCATAGGAGGTTGCAAAGAAATGTTCAGGGAAATTCCAGTTACCCTTTTCCATATGTTAATGTCTTAAATAATTAGAGTACACTATCAAAACCAGGAAAATGGCACTGGTGCAGTCCAGAGAGCTGATAGCTTATCTAGATTTCACCAGTTAGACATGCACTCGTGTGTGCGTGTATGTGCATATGCAGTTCTACCACGTGTTGCCTTACATAACCAATACCACAACCACAACGGAGAGCAGTCCCATCCTCACTGCACTCCCTCACGTCACCCACCGGGCCACACTGCCCCTCTGGCCTGCCCCTAATGCCTGGTCTCCATCTCGAGTTATGGTACATGTGAACATTATATAGATGAAATCACACACGATATATCCTTTTGATTTTGTTCTTTATTCAGTATCCTTGAAGTTTATTTTCTTAAGTAGTTTTTTTTTAATTCTTTATGAAACAACCGTTTCTACCTCTGCCTTTGCATATGCCATTTTCCCTTCTAGAATGCCCTCTAGCAACCTGCATCCATTTCCTTCTCTGTGTGCCCGAACCCACCCGCTCGTCTGGGCTCTGCTGTTAGTTATGCGTGCCTCACGCCCTAGCATTTCCACTGGCCAGTGGAGGGCAGAGACCATGTCTGACTTACCTTTGCATTCCCAGCATCTGGCGCAGGCCCTGAACTGGAGGCAGTACTGGGGCAATTATGTGTCGGATGCATGAACTGGTGAAGTTCTCCGTTTGGTTCTTGTATTGTGTCTTCTGTGTGGTCTCCCCAACTAGCCTCCAGAGTGTAAAGGGCCTCAAAGCCGCCGCCGCCTCCCCTTTACCTGGTGCACAATGCCCCGGAGTGGCCGTGGGTGCTCCGTGTGGCTTCATGAGCATGAGCCCTGTGTGCGGGGATGAGGTGGGTGTAAGTGTCTGTGGGGCTGGCTTCCCAGCTGCCCAGCCTGACCCCCTTCAGTCAGCAGGACGGACCTGGAGATGTCGGGGCTGCAGACCTTGGAGCACGTGGCCGTGACGGTCTCCATCACTCACCCGCGTCGTGGCAGCTTGGAGCTGCAGCTCTTCTGCCCCAGCGGCATGATGTCCCTCATCGGCGCCCCCCGCAGCATGGACTCGTACGTACCCGCCGCCTCTGAGCCCTCTGCAGCCAGGGCCTCTCCCAGGGCAGGAGACCTGGCCACGGGCGAGGTCCTGGGCCCATGGCGCCCTTGGCGGCTGGCAGCCGGTCAGGGTGGGCTTCACACGAGTGCTTACGGTGCTGACACAGCACTTCACACCGTGTCCTCCAGTCCTCACGAGGACCATGTGGGGTCGCCTGTGCCACCTCGTTTCACAAATGAGGAAACCAGGTGGAGCTCGTGAGCGCCCGAGAAAGCAGCCCTAACCCCAGCTGCCAGCCCCGCCTGTGCTCACCCACCTCTGCCTCTTCCACCACAGCACGCGGGCATGAGGCCCCTGAGCTCAGGGGCAGGGGACCCCTAGGCACCCTCCCTCACAGCTGGCGACAGCTGCCGCACTTCCAGGGCTGCCACCGTGAGAAAGGGTGTGCCTCCGCGCCTCCAGGTTTTCCACTCTCTTCTCCCCCAGGGACCCCAGCGGCTTCGAGGACTGGACCTTCTCCACTGTGCGCTGCTGGGGGGAGAGGGCGCGAGGGCCTTACAGACTCGTGGTCAGGGATGTAGGTGAGCCTGCCCCCTCCCTCGGGCCCTGCTGTCATGGCTGCCGTCTGGTCCCTCTGCCTCCCAGGTCTCACAGACATGGTCCGTGTGATGCCTCGGGCTGCCATGAGCCAGCTGGGCAGACCAGAGGCAGACCCCGTCCAGAACTGGCATTGGTGTCACGTGCCCTCTGTGCTGACTCTCGTGTTCCCCAGTGGCTGGTCTGCTTTCCTCAGGGGAGCGACAGACTCCTTGTTGACACCCATTTCAAGCCCTTCGCACATAGCCTGCCTTCGCCAGCCCGAGGCAGGTAACCCTGGGGAGACCGGGCCACCTCCAGGGGTGCAGTGGTTGTGGGAGGTCACCGCTGCAGGGAGGAGACTGGAAATTGAGCCCAGCCTCCCACCTGCCAGTCCAGGTAGGTGTCCTCTAGACTGGTGGTTTCAGCCCTTGATTTAGTAGAAGGATTTTTTTTCCCAAGCAAAACCACAGCTGAAATCTCAAAATATGAGAGAGACAAAGGCAAGCCCTAGCCAGTTTTGCTCAGTGGTTAGAGTGTTGACCTGTGGACTGAAGAGTCCCAGGTTCCATTCCAGTCAAGGGCATGTGCCTCAGTTGCAGGCTCAATCCCTGGCCCCGATGGGCACTTGCGGGAGGCAACCAATCTATGTGTTTCTCTCACATCGATGTTTCTCTCTGTGCCTCTCCCCCTCCCTTCCACTCTTTCTAAAAATCAATGGAAAATGTCCTCGGGTGAGGATTAAAAAAGAGAGAGAAGCAAAACTTCTCTGCTTTGGAGTACCACCTTTCACTACCCCTTCCATCCCGAGGGGACCCCGAGAGGCAGATCTGAAGAACCCTGGGCTCAGTGGACACGAGACAGCTCCTTTGGCCAAGCCCTGTCACATGGCAGGAGCTCTGCTGTCTGTGTGGCCGACAAGGGCCCGGCTCACAGCCCACCTCGCTTGCTGCCCTAGGAGATGAGGCGCTCCCGGCCGGCACCCTCCGGCAATGGCAGCTGACCCTGTATGGCTCTGCGTGGAGTCCGGTGGACATCAGAGACAGACAGAGGTAGGTACAGAGGGAAGGGGGCTGCTCAGGCACTCCACCTCCCTGGGAACCCATCCTGCGTCCTCCCACTTCAGCTCTAGGGGGGAGGCCGGGCCGGGCAGATGGGACCAAGTTCAACTGGACAGCCTGTCTTTCCTTCTCCACAGACTCTTAGACGATGCCATGAGTGGAAAATACCTGCATGACGGCTTCACTCTGCCCTGCCCTCCTGGGCTCAAAATTCCCGAGGAAGTTGGTTACACCATCACTCCTAACACCCTCAAGGTGCTCGAGCTAAGCCTCACACTGGAGGGGGGGTGGGGGGGGCGGGGGCCAGAGCTTGGAGGGATGGGCAAGGTGGTGGAAGACAGGGTTGTCCCCCTGCCAGCTGGCACTTCCTGGTATGTAGGTGAATGGTTTGGGGCAGCAGAGGCAGCCCCTCATGGGAGAGAGACTTTCTGAGCTCAGCATTCTGGGCTAGGAAAGGCTGCTGGTCTTGGGAAATGTCCCTAACGTAGGGGTGGGATTCCCCCAGACCCTGGTGCTGGTCGGCTGTTTTGCCGCCTTCTGGACTGTGTACTACGTGCTGGAAGTCTACTTGAGCCAGAGGAATGTGGCCTCTCACCCGGTTTGTCGGAGTGGACCCTGCCTCGGGCCCCAAAGAAACCGAAAAGCCAGGGAGGAGGGGGCCGAACTGGAGTCAGTGCCACTTTGCAGCAGCAAGGACCCCGGGGGAGTGGAGGCGGAGGCCGCAGGCCCTCTCATCGCTGCGGATGACCAGGCCCCAGGCCTGCAGGGCAGGGCGGAGCAGATGTGCTGACTGCCAGCAGCTCAGCCTGGCACAGGCTCTTCCTCCCCTGCGGGGAGCTGGGCAGCTGCTCCCAAGTCCCAGGAGCCCTGGGAGCAGGCGCCCCTGATCTGACTGCGCTCAGGGAGGCACGGCTTTCGAGGGGGCGCGGGAGGAACGTACAGAGAACGTGGCAGCAGCACAGGACCTTCCTGAACCGGCAGCTTCGGGTGAGAAGGACCAGATGGGATTGGCGTCCCTTCCGGGCCGGCCTCCGTCCTCATTTCCCCTGGCCAGTGGTGCGGCCACGGACCCTCGCCCGCCTGTGCAGGAGTGAGAAGGGGCCTGCCGCACCCAGAAGAGCGTCACTTGGGAAGAGGGCGCAGAGGTGGGGACTGGAAGAGCCCGGAATATCCTGTCCTCAGGACCCAGGACCCGGAGCTAGCAGACTGTCCTCCCCTTCCTGCCTCAGCCTTGGACCTTGGACATACGGTGTGGCTGTGGTCCCTCCGCCTGGTACGTGGCCCTCAAGCCATTGCCTCAGTCTCCCTAATCAGAAGCCACCCCTGAACCCCCGACTCCCTCACCATCCCCACCTTTCATCCCGAAGGGTCAGGACGATGCTCCTGGCCAAGCCGGGGAGGGCCTGGTCCGGCTGCTGCTTCCAGGGGCGTCTGCACAGGACTGGGACGGGTGCGGCCACTGCCACCCAGCCCAGCGCCCTGTCCTCCTCGGAAAGTGCTCAGGGAATGGCCTTGCCCCAAGGCCAGCTGTCTGCCAGCAGCTCTGACTCCCTTCTTGGCTCCCCCTCTTCTGAGCTGATTGGCTGACTCATTTTTTTAACACTTAAGGTTTGATTTCCTCCTGTCACAGCAACTTCTGTGGAGTTTTTTCTGCACAGCTTTTCCAAATAAAAAACTTCCACATAATTCTGCCCCCTCCCATCTCCTCTTCTCTGCTAAGCAAGTTGCCAAGTAGCTCCTCCCCGTCAGCCCCGAGCTCCACTCTCCTCTCCCTTGGCCTGGTCCTCTGAGAATTGCACCCGAGCTCCACTCTCCTCTCCCATGGCCTGGTCCTCTGAGAATTGCACCCGGGACCCTGCAGTGGGAGGGGTTCTTCAGAGGGCATTGGCCAGGGCCTCACAGATGCCCTTTTTCCCCCGAACCACACGGAAGTGACGAGGGCAAATCAAACTGCCAGCCAGGCCTGAGAAAAGATCGATGTATATTTTCACCTTGAATTTCAACCCCCGAAATATTCCAGCAAACTTGGGGGCGGGGGGGAGGTTGGGCCGGGTCTCCCTCAATGGGCGTCTGCAGGCTAGGAGGACGGTGGGTTTGTCCCAGCCCAGCCCCCTGCACAGCCCAGGCTGGGGGAGACGGGAGGAGGCGGGGAGCTGGGGAAGGCGGGGAGCAGTGCTTCAGAGGAAGGATCGGGCTGGGGGTGGGGCGAGTTGCCCAAGCGCAGTCCCCTGTGCTCAGTGATGGAGCTCGGAGCCCGGAAGCTGGCTGGGGCGAAGGAACTCGGGTGTGGGAGGTGGGCGAGGAGGGAAGGCTGCAGCCGACGAGCGGGGAGGCCGGGCTGGGGGCTGGCCTGGCCCTCTAGCTGATGATCTGCCGAGGCCGCCCGTAGCCTGTCATGCCGGCCTGGGAGGCCCCTCTGTTGCTGCCCATCTGCAGGCCAATGACGTGCTTGCCCTCCTGCAGCTGGCCCTCTGTGAACTCCCGCTTGTGCTCCTGGGCTTTCCTAGAGGAAGGACCGCCGGTGACCACTCCCAGGCCTGCTTGCGGGCTGCTCGGCCACTCCCCGGCCTGGTCCCTTTCCCTCCTGGTCCTGTCTCCTCCACCCCCCCACCCCCCTTCATCTAGCTTGGCCCTCAAGGCTAGGAGGCTGGTTGAGCCCCGAAGATAGGAAGGGAAGAGTCAAATAGTTTTAGGGACCCATGTCCCTCTTAGACCATGTCCCTCCCTGGCTATCTGTTCCCCAAATCACTCACACCATCGGGGAGCCCAGGCCGCCCCCCTTCTCATGTGGAGACCCGCACTTGGAGCCACTTACTTCATAAACCAGTTGGGATCTCCGCGGTAGTGCCCGTCGTTCTTGGTCACGGCCAGGCTGCCCAGGGCCATCAGGGTCCTCTGCACGGCTGCCAAGTCTTTGCCTGTGGGAAGGGCGGGCGGGCACACTTCAGGGCCCTGTAAACAGGACTCCCCAGGCGCCCCGCCCCATCTCTCAGAACGACAGCCAACCTAGGGGCAAGGTCACGGCGGAAGCACCAGGCTCCAGGGCCCTGCGAGTGTGCTGTGGTCTCCCTGTACCGCCCACTCCTGCTTCCATCATCAGGTCCCTGCCTGAGCCACCCCTCCTCACCCAGCTCCTCCACCCCCTTGTTCTCTGTACCTTCAAAGAGGTCCACAGTCTGGAACATGTCCGTCTTGGTGACGCCATAGTCCTCAGCTGCCTTCAGGAACTGAGCCACCTGCTCCATCTGCTTAAAGACCATGGAGGGAGGGTTCTCGGGCACCCTCACTGGCTTGGCGCCGTCGGGGTAGAGGCTGTTCACCAGCTTGCTCAGGATCTGCCAGGCAGAGACAGGGCTTGGCATTCGGCTCGGGGTGCCTGCCCCGGGACGCTGACAGAATGGCACAGCCCCAACCCTCCCCCGGTGCCACTCACCACGCCATTCTTCAGCCAGACCTGGAAGCCCAGGCGGCCGCGATCCGGGCGCCCCACGTCTGGACCGCACTGCACCACGATCCACTCCACCAGCCGCTCCTCCAGCTCCTCGTCGTACTTCTTCTCGATCTTGGATTGCACCTCGCGGCTCATGCCATAGGAGGGTCCCTTGTTGGCCATGTTTGCGGAGAGCTTAGCACCAGGCAGAGAAGGGAGAGGGCAGGGTCAGAGCCAGCTGTGCCCACCACCTAGACCTTCGTCTTTCTCCGCTTGCTCCCTGGTTTTGTTTTCTTGGCTCTGCCTCTCTGGGCCAGGCCTTCTCGGTCAGGGCCCCTCTAGCCTTGGAGACCAGGGGGCAGGAGACCGGGTCTGGCGGTCGGGAGCAGGCTGGGTAAACTGTGTTGTGAATGACCAGACATAAGTGTTGTAAGCTTTGCAAGCCATATGGTCTCTGCCATTGTCCCACAAAAGCAGCCTTCGGCAAGACATAGACAAATGAACATGGCTTTGTTCCAATAAAACTTTATTTACACCGTGTGGCTCGGTTGGGTTGAGAGTCAGCCCCCAATCCAGAGCTCTCTCTTTGGCCACAGAGGACCTGTGGAGGCCTCGGGAGGAGGCCCCAGTGGCCCCAGAAGAAGCCAGCAGGTGTCTGTCCTGCCAGGTGTGAGGTGGTTCCCCGCAGACTCCCCGCCCCAGCCCAGAGGGCCCTCCTACCCAGGTCAGCCCGCCCCTGGCTGCAGAAGAGGCTCGCCTCGCGGTGGAAAGAGGGCGCCCAGGAGCTCAGGGCCAAGGCACTGCTTCCCTCAGGGCAGCTGGTGCCCTGGACTCCCCCTCGTGCCCGGTCCTCACACCACAGGAGCGGCTTGAGGGACCACGAAGCCAGAGTCCTCGGGACGCCCAGAGCCCAGGACCTGCCCGTGCAGACCAGCATCGGGAGAGCCCGCGGAGGGGAAGGGAGGGGAGGCCGCAGGAGCAGTGGGTCTGGCTGCTCAACTGGCCTGACCACAGGTACCAACCTGGGGCGCTGCCCAGAGTCCATCTGAGGAGGCTGAGCTGTGCCCTGGCCTCGGGGAGGTCAGAGGTTGAGAAAGAGGGAGTGACCCAAGGAATGAGCCGTCAGCCTGTTCCCCGGCTCCCTCTCCACACCCTCCTCTGTGGAGGCGACACCGCACCCCACCCCACACTCCGTCTCCCGCCCCCGTTCCCCAGGCCCACGCGTGTCCACAGCGAAGGTAGGGCAGCTCCCTCGGGGCTGGGACCACCTGGCAGGCGGCCGTCCCTCCGGCCTCCACCCTCTTCAAAACCAGCTGGAGAGCGAGGATGGGGTGGAGGATGCATCTTCATTCTGGGCACTGGGCAGCGCACTTCTCTCCTGTGTCCTTATTTGTAACGTGAGGGCCGGGCCACTCTGAGGACAGGGTTCTCTCAGCACCTCCCTCACATCCCACCCCCCCCGCTCCCACCAGCCCCTCCTTCTCCACTAGTGATGCCAAAGAACCCAAGCTTTGCTCTGGGCTACAAACACCGCCCCCCTTCCCCAAACTATTTTGTGTCTCACCCCTGCCGCTGCTCCCTCATCACCAAGGGCTCCTGGGCAAAGCTCTGTTGGCCGAACTCCCAGTGAGCAAGGACAGGCATCCCAGCTCGTCCTGCCCCCGCCTCCCTCCTCCCTCATCTCAGCTTCACCCCCATCCCAGGTCCCGCATGCCTCCCTGTGGTCCAGGCTCACTGTCTTCCGTGCCCTGCCCTCTTTTTAAAAAAACACAAAAATGTTTTTATTAATTTTTAGAGAGAGGGGAAGGGAGAGGGAGAAACATTGGCCGCCTCCTGCATGCCCCCTACTGGGGATCAAGCCCTCAACCCAGGCATGTGCCCTGACCAGGAAACCTAGGACTCTCAACCCAACTGAGCCACACCGGCCAGAGCTGCTCTGCCCTCTGGAATCCCCGCCCCCCCCCCCCCCCGCCAGACTGTGCTGGGGGTGAGGACAGCAGGGGAGCACCGTGTGCGCCCCCCACCCCAGGTTATAGTCTCAGGAGACTCAGAACAGCCAGCCAAGGTGGCCAGTCCCATAGTGGCAGCCTTTCGATCTAGAGACAAATGTGGATTTTGATCAGAATCGGGCGGGGGGGGGGCGGGGGTGCATGCATTTCACACACACACATGTACGCACACACACGCACACACATGCACGCACACGCACACGCACACGCACACGCACGCCCGCCTCCTGGTGAAGTGTGCGCCAGTGCAGCGCTCCAAGAAACCTGGATAAAGACCTGCCCAGCCTCGCCTTGAAGCCGCTGGGAGTGGGGGAGACCGCTGCACCCAGGGGACGGTCCAGACAAAGGCTCCTGGGATGGCAGGAGGGACAGTCTGCCGCTGGGCTTCCCGCCTCTGCCCTTCGCCCTTCGCGCCCCTGCCCTTTGGCTTCTGTCAGCCTCTCCTCTTCAAAGGAAAACACAGCTCAGATGCTCGAGCCCCTGTAGGCCCCCTGGGCACAGGGGGCAGGAGAGGAGGCTCGGCTAAGTCTGGGGACAGAGAAGAGCCATCCGACTGCTACTCTCAATAGCACCCAGAGGGGAGCCCAGGGACCCAGGCCTGCCCAGCCCGAGGGAGCCACCCCGCATCCCTAGAAGCTTCCAGAAGTGCGGGCCCCACCCTCTGCCTGTAGGGAGGTGCCTTCTCTCTCAGTGTCTGGAAGGAGCTGTGTACCCAGAAAATCAGCCCTCACCTCTGCCTGCACCCTGCACCCTGCACCCTGCCCCCTGCCTGCTTCAGAATCCAGGGCTTTGTGTCCCTCCCACTGCCACGGGGCTCTCCAGGCTGCTCAGCCCGGGGACCCCCAAGGGTCACTGCTCTCCGGCACTAGTGACTCACATCTCCTTCAACACCCCCACCCAGAGGACAGGCAGCAGAGCCGACCCCCACTCTGCCCGCTCTGCTCTGGTCTCTGCTCCCTCCTTGCCAGCCAGGCATCCTGGGCACTTCAATAAGCCCAGCTGCCCAGTGAGCAACGCGGCTCCAGACGCCTCCTGCCATCGCCATCCGCTAGGACCACCTCCCACCCGGAGATTCGGGGTGCACTGCCCCGAGGGTGGGCTCCCAGCCCGTCCAGGCCCGGCCCGCTCCCCTCCAGCCCGGGGCAAACGCACTCACAGGGCTCTGAGGTGCAGGAAGGACTCCGCTCTGTCTGGACTTGGACAGACAGGATGGGGCGCTGGCTGGGTGAGGGGTTTAAAGGCCTGCTCCCGGTGATGTCAGCCTCCCCCCCCACCCCCCCGCGCCCCTCCTGCTGGAGGAAACAGGCTCCGTTCTCCACCCCAGGCCCCCCAGCGACTCGCATAGACTCCATATTTGGGGAAAGACACCAAGTTGGAGCATTCTGCCAGGGCTGCCCGAGCATTCCCCGCGTGCCTGGGGGATGGAGCGGGCGGGCGGGGCTCGCTGCTGGGAACCAGCGGGAAAGGCCTTTTATGGGCAGGACCACGAAGGCTTCCCAGCGGCCGGGGCTGCAGACTTAGGCGGATCCTTCTGCGCGGCTCCCTGCCCGAGTCTGAAGGGAGGGGAGACTTCAGGAGGGTCCGCCAGAGAGTGGAAAGGGGCCAAGGGGAGGCGGGGAGCCCCATCACTGAGGTTTGTCGGGGACAGACCAGCCCCCTCTCCTCCTGGGCTTGAGCCCTGGTGGAAGACAGGAACTAACCTTGGCTGAGGACTGACTACACGCCCGACGCTGGGCAAATGCTCTCATGTAATACTCGCAGCTGCATTGTGAGAGAGTCACTGTCAGCACCGTTTTACAGATGACGAAACGGAGGTCAGAGGGCATCTCACCGAGGCCACACGGCGGGTGGCGAGTGGCAGAACCCAGGCATCCGACCGACCTGCCGCCCGCCCCGTGGGAGCAGGAGACACTGCCAGGCCCCCTTCAGCTGCACCACCTGCTCGGGCTGAGCGCGTTCTGCTGGGTGGGCCTAGGGCCCTGCTCTTCGGTTGGGGTGGGATTAAGGGCTCAGAGCAGCTGTCACCTGCTCCCCTCGAGGCCCGCTAAGGCCGGCAGGGCCTGAGACCCAGCGCTGGGGCAGGAGGCTCAGGTGTGCCGGTGCCTCCCTCCGTCAGGAATCGTCCCTGCTGATCCTGGGAGCGGACGGACTCCCTCCCCCGGGAAGGAAACCCACGCAGATCTCGCTTGTCCCTGGCTTCAGGGGTCTCAGGGAGGATGAAAGGAGGGAAAGGAGAGAGACTTGGGAGGAGTCTCGGCTGCCCGCTGAGGCACACGGCCCCACCCCCTCCATCACCCTTGGGTGCCTGCTGGAAGGGCCGAAGTCTGCACCCTACACTCTGCGGGCACACCCAACACCAGCGGAGGGCGGCCCGTCAGCCCTCCCCTCCCCTCCCCACCAGAGGAAACCGCTCCATCCGTGCCGGGATCCCGGTGGTGCAGAGCAATAGTACCTCCCAGTGGTGTCTGTGGGAAGAGCAGGGGACCTGCTTGTGTCCTGAGTTCATGTCCCCGTGTGCTAAAATCTAACTCAACCTTCCAGGCCATTTCAAAACCCTTCCTCTAGGAGCAAGCCTGCCCTCACGCCCCCACTTACCCACTAGCCATCAGTCTGTTCCCTGAGCGCCACCCCAGCCTTGACCGCAGGCCAGGAAGCACTGCCTGCAGCCCTGGGGCTGGTGGGGGGCCAGGCGGGCACAGGTCGCTGTGGTTTGCCAGGAAGGGTGGGCATCTCAGGTGAGACAGTGTGGCAAAGGCTTATTCGCTCCCCTATGCTTCTGGCATGAAGCAGGCTCCTCGCCAACATTTACTGAGTTCACACCACTACTCCAAGGAGAGGAAGGACAGGAGTCAAGGAAATGGTCCCACTGGTTCCCCCTGGCCCGGGCCCAGCACTGGAGAACAGAGGCCATACTCCATCCCTCTCAGCATCTACACCCAGAAAGGGGGACAATCAGGGTCCAAGAACTGCGTCTGTTGTTTCTTTAATCGAATGCAGACTCATTCATAGAAAACAAGTGCAACCACAGCTGGAGACAGACAGTAAACGGAGCTCTGAAAAAACCCAACCCACCTCCTCCCCCAGCCCAGGGCGGCTGCACAAACACATTGGTGAGAATAAAACACATTCCCATCTCAAGGCAGGGCCTGGCCCGACTCCCCAGCCCTGGCGCCTGGAATGGACCAGGGAGGGCAAAGGTGGCCCAGGACCAGAGCAGCCAGGGTGCCCAGAGCTGGGTTCGTTCAGTGTAAACTCCAAGGTGTCACATGCACGTGTGACCAACACAGGACTTGGCTGACGACTGGACGGAAACGAGCCAGCCCTGGGCCCAGAGCGAGACTGGAGCAGGGCAGAGGGAAAGGTCATGGCCCTCCTCGAGCCCCTTCTACGGTAGGCACTGGGCTCCTGCCACGGCGCAGGAGGCAGGTGGGCCGGGCTCTTCGTACCCTCCCTCTATGGCCCCTGACTTCTCGGACAATGTCAATGGCACTAATGTCCCCAGCTGGGGCTTGGCAGGGCTGAGGGTCTGGCCAGAAAAAGGATGAGGGCGAGTTGCTTTTTCTTTCCGAACCTGGTGCTCGCATCAGTCTGGGGCTGATGGAACAGGAAGTGGCCTCGGAATCCAGGCCTCAGGTCAAAGGCAGTTCTCACGTATGAGCTGACCCTCACTGCCAAGAGTCGCAGGGCCCTTGGCAGGTCTTAGCACCATAAGCCTGGCACCAGCTGGCCAGTCCCCCAAATCCTACGCCCCTTCTATCTGGCCGACTAGTGGGCAGTGATGGCAGTGAGGTACAACCCCGAAGAGCCGCGGGGCCTGGCACAGGCCAGAGAATCAGGCCCCGACCGAGGAGCCGGGCGCTGGGCTCCGGGCGGAGGAGGGCAGGACAGGTGGGATCCGAGGCAGGAGCTGGGCGGGCAGCACTCCCCCTTTTCCTGCAGAGGGACAAACGGAGAGCCAAGGACAGGGGCCTTGGAAGGTGCCAACACTGATAAGAAAGCAGCAATTTGGCCAACATTTGGGGTTCCAAGGGAGCAGGCCTCCTCCCCGGCAGGGGCAGCTGCAAGGCTCAAGTCCAGCCTGTGACTGTCCGGGGCCACGCCTGGCGGGGCCATGGGATCCCACAGCCACGGCACTGGGCCCGAGTGAACGCGGTGGCTCGGCTAGAAGACGTAGATCTTGTCCCGCTGCACAGTGTCCAGGTCGTCGTCCAGTGTCAGCAACACCTGCGGGGCAGCCGAGTCAGGCACAGCACAGGGAGCCTGCACCCCCTCCCTCCCGGCGGCCAGAGAGGCTCCCGTACCAGGAACGACCCGAACATGGCGATGGAGGAGAGGAAGTGCCAGATGTCATGGTCATCAAAGAAGTCGAGGAGAATGCAGTCCCGATTGTGCTCCCTCGACTCGGCGGGCGTTTTCTGGGCAGAAACAGGGAGAGCTGCTTGCTGACGCGGCCCTGGGGGGACAGTGCTTTCTCCCGCCTCACCCCTCGCCCTCATCTCCTACATCTAAGACCTGGCGCCCCTTACAAATGCCTCCCTGCTCTGCCTCTCCTCCTCGCCACTCCACTCGACCTCCTCCCCCAGATTCTCCTCCCCTTGGTCTAGGAGCAGAGAGTGAAGAGCTGGAGGCGCTGGATGCCTCCTAACTCAGCCCCGTGTGGGACCCGTCGCCCTCATCAGCCTCCAGGGCCCTCCAGGCTCCTTTTCTTTCCAAAGCCCAGCTGTCAGGTGACATAGCCCTTTCCACGGGCAGCGACAGTGGCCGCGCACCCAGGTCTGTAACTTCTTTCCCCACAGACACCAGCTGGGCCTCCGGGTGCCTGGGCTCAGGCCACAGGGAGGACCAAGGCCCTGCCCCGCCCCGAGAGCCAGTCCTCACCTGGCTCCTGCGCCTCCCACCTAGTTCTGCCTCTGCACCACCACCCCGGTCACGGCGTCTGGGACAAGGGCCTTCCCCATCACCAGGGTCCTCAAGGCCAAGAGCAAGACCTGCCTCTTGCAGGCAGTTTTCCTGGACCCTCACTCCCGGGACCTGCCCTCTGCCCTTCCGTGCCTGCCCTGCCATCCTGCCAGGAGCCGCAGCCCCTCCTGAACTAGACGATTAACGCCTCGAAGGCAGAGCCCAAACCAGAGTCGATGCGGTTACAGGACTGAAGCCTGCCCACGGCAGGTGCCCTGGAGGCAGAAGACAGCGCTCCCCACTGCGCATCCCCAGACAGGCCCCTGGGCCCCTGGCCTCAGCTGCCCCACAGGCACAGGGGGCGCCACGCAGGTTCACTGGCAGGAGGACTGAACACGAAAGCTGCTGGGAAATGAGGTGCTGCTGTGGGCCGGCCACTCCGGATGAGCCTGTGGGTGACTCCCCGCCCCCAGCAGGGGGCCCGCTCACCTGCCAGGTGCTGAGTCCCTGGAAGAAGAAGAAGAGCGCGAAGCCCCAGACCACGGAGGTGCAGACGATGCAGAGCAGAGGGATGAGCTTGATCCTCTCCCCGCTCCGGAGCTGGGGGGTGGGGGGTGGAGAGAGCAGCCTGAGGGCCACTCCTCACCCCTCTCCTGGCCTGCCCAGATGCGCCTTGTCCATTACACAGCTCAGCCTGCCCCACACGAGCAGCTGGGGTCCTCACCGCTGATGGCCACCCTGCTGGGCCTCCCTGTGCCTAGGACCCTGTGCTGGTGGCGCCCTGGCCAGGCGGCCCTCTGTGAGGGGCTCCTCTCACACTGGACGGCGCAGACTCAGTGGGCCCCGCTCCTCACCCCTCCCTCCGCACTGAAGTGCTAGTTCCCTGGGCCTCTTAGAACATGCCGGTGCTCTGCAAGTGGCCCTTAGGACCAGGCTGGCTCTCGGGGGACACTTGCAAGAGCATGAGCCCCCCCAACCCCCGCAAACCTCGCTGGCACAGACAGGTGGGCAGGAAGACGGTCTCGGCCACCCCCCCCCCGGACCCCCCGCCCCCCCAGAGGCTGAGCAGCGGCAGCGCAGGCTCAGCCCCTCACCTTCATGATGATGTAGAAGGCAAAGTAGAGAAGCAGGTTGCAGATGCCGATGGCCAACAGGTAGGAGGCAAAATCATTGGGGCGCATGATGAGTCCGTAGGCAGCCCTGGCCAGAGGGAGGGAGCTGGTGAGGCAGGGGCGGCCGGGCCAGGAGGGCCTGCTCTCAATCCTACTCCGAGTCTCACGCTAACCTGGGGTTGGTTCAGCGGCAACAGAGGACTCTAGAACCCCAGTGCCCACACCTCTCGTCAGCCCCGATTTCTCACGCCCAAAGGTCTCAGGGCCCACCCGCCAGCTGCCACAGACAGTGGCCAG